GGGGGGGATCCCCGCGATGTGGGGTATTCGTTGACTTGCTGAGTTTCCTAGTTCCTGGAGTCTCTTATCTACATGCTTTTGGAATTGGATCTGATTCATTGTTCGTGATCGAGTGGATAGTACGGTAGTACAGGTCTGACCGTCTGACTGCCGACAAGTGAGCTGTTCCGACGGATGATGCTCGGAGTACCCTCCATTCAACAACCACTTAAGGTACTCTGCAATACCTGTCTAAACCCACGCAGCTCTGGGCCGGTGAATACTACGAGAAGGAGATTGCGTCGTTCTGTCTCCTCTCCCGTCGTCTATAATTTCGCACATCTGAGCCGTATTTCCATAGTTGTGTTCCGCTGATGAAGAGGAAGCGCGGAAATTCTCCGTTGCGCGCGCCATATTCCGCCCCGTTCTCTGATGAGCTTAATTCACTTAGCCGACCACAAGTGCCTCCCTCTTCTTCCACTCTACCGTGCTCTTTGTAGGGCATTGTGCTGGTAGTGACTGCTCAATGATGGAAGGATGCCTGTGACCACCATATATGGAAGCATGCTGGGTTTGGATCCGAGTGGTCGGAGCTCTGTGAGAGTCGAGGTGATTTTTCCACCAAAAGACATCTTTGCTCCTTCAGCTTCGCAGACGGCGAAGGGCATACCATGCCTGCACTCGCTACAGTCCCATGTTAACATACTACTTCATGGTCTCGGAAGCAATCGCTACATCATTTCATTCCGCGCTTATATTACCAAGCAAGCGATTGTCTCTCGAAAATGAGGTGGATATTGATAAACGTAATGAGAGAAAGGAAGAGAGAGAGATAGCTTAGCTGGGGATCCAAATACGACCGAATTACTCAGGAATATGCAGATCAACTATGGAGTATCCACTTTCATTCAGTCTCTTCATCTCTTGCCGTGACGGGCGGATGTTGGTCTAAGCTAGTTTACAGATACGATCCGCCGCCGGATATCAAGCAATTAGTCTAAAGGTTACCCCTTCGTGCTTGCTCACGTTCAAAAGCCTCGAACAGACTCTTGAAATTTCCAGCTCCAAAGCCGTCAAAGTTGTTGCGCTGGATGACCTCGATGAACACCGTGGGCCGATCGAGCACATGTTTGGAAAAGATTTGAAGCAAGTATCCCTTCTCGTCAAAGTCCACCAGAATATGCAGCTTTTCCAGAACGGCAATATCCTCCTCGAGTTTCAGTCCGGTGTGGGAGAGTCGCTGACGCAGGTCCGAGTAGTATGCGCTGGGGACGTCGAGGAAGGATACGCCTCGTTCCCTGAGTCGAGTGACAGCAGTGACGATGTCGTGTGTTCGGAAAGCAATATGCTGGACGCCTGCGCCGTTGTAGTAGTTTACGAACCTATCGATTGGTCAGCTCAAACCCTTGTACACCATGTTAGGTGGTCCAGCAAGGCCTACTCTTCAATCTGTGACTTCTTTTTGCCCTGAGCCGGCTCATTCATAGGCATCTTGATCACTTCATTAGGCGAGGCGACGACGATCGATCGCATGGCGGAATATTCGCCACACATGTTTAAGTCATCTACAGTCCAGTACCGGTGGAAGTTAAGGCAATCCTCGTAGCTGGAAATGACGACGGGTTAGCAACTTCCACCTGGAAGAGACAGCTCGGAACAGTGCCTATACGTACTACTTGACAATTGGATCGACGCCGTTCCATGGCTGATTGCCAACGCAGTGGTCTAACTCAATGAAGTCGATCGATGGCAGCAACCGATTGATGGGATCGTCGTCCATTACGGCTTCATAGCCTGGTAAAAACGGGCCGGAGTAGTGACGACGATTGATTAGCGAATGCACCGTATCCTCATAGGTACCGATCGTGGCCATGGTGATTGAACCATGCAGGTCATCTTTCAAGGTGGTCGGCGGCGCGACTGGAGCTGCTCCGTGATCCACTGCTCTTTTCCACACAGCTTCGATATCCCCCTCAATCCGGAACGCAACATCCTTGACACCGTCGCCGTGCTTGTTCAGATGACTGTGAATTTCCTTCAACAATTTCTGGTCTGCCTCGGAAACATCATCGTCGTATTCGCCTGTTTCCGAGAAGGAACGGATGGGAGAAGTGAGAACGAAGATAGCTTGGCCGTTGGAGACGACGTGCGACACGACGCTTCGAGAACCAGTTTCGGGACCGCGATAAGCGATTTGCTTGAATCCCATCCGGGTCACATAGTAGGAAGCTGCCTGTTTCGCATTGCCCACATACCAGGTAATGTGGTCAAATCCCACATATTCCGGGCCCAGATTGGAAGCGAAGATGTTCTCCTCGACCTTATTTGAGACTGTCATGGTTCTGGTGACATGTGAGGGTCGAATTTATTTGCCTCGGGAGCAACACAAGGGAAGAGAACGCTGGGTTGAAGCTTTTGCATGCTATCGTATTTAGCAGTGGGTCGGTCAAGGTGAGAGGTATATTTATCTATCGCAGTATCGCTTCACCGATCCGGTCCGGCCCTTCTGTCACAAATTGTGAATAAACTTTTGGTGTTCCGTGAATGATCCCTGCAACCAGCCAGCCAACCAGACTTGGCTCACACTTCAATAGTGCAACGCTGTTTCAACGGTCTTGAGAGATCTTATCTAGCCCCAGACGTTGTAGCTGCAGACTCGGAGAATTCATCCTAGGTCAAAATTATTCATTGCTACCCTGGTACAGTTGATATCATGGCATATTGATCAGCTTCTGTAGGACAAACTTTCACTCTCTGGGTCACATTAGAGATGAGATGGTTCCTTTCAAGCAAATTGACCTTCGTATCTGACTGACACTCGCCGTTGAGAGCTGATAATACCTCAAAATTAGGAGGTAGAAGTGAGTGAGACTCTATATCACCTGCTCTCGGTCTCGGGTAAGACATCCGCGCCTCCTGTATAGAAGCCCCTACTCCCTAAGGCCATTCTATAGGCCATAGCGACAAGATGTCCCGACGCTTCCCGGTTCTCCTGGAACAGAACCAGTGTCCTTTGTAGCTCTCGGACACTCATCTGTATCACATTCACATTTGTTCCACTCCAGCACACCCCATCAGCTATCATTGACCGGCTCAGGCCGATTCTTGAAAAGCAGCTTGTACTTGATAATCTCCACAATCTCCAATTCCTCGCTCTCGGACTCAGCGATCCTGTCGTCGTCGGACTGCTTCTTACGCTTCTGCACCAACGCAAGTGGCTGCGCCAGTTTTTTCACTTCCCCCGTCATCCGTTGATACCGACCAATATATAGATAGACTCGCTTCATCCATTTTGTGTCGTCCGGTGACGTGGTTTGCGGCGAGTAGTCAGGGAACATGAGTTTGCCAATTGGTGTCTCGAACGTGGTTACGGCTGCGTCGTGATCTTCGGCATCGGCGGGGTGAGGAACCGCGCCCTGATCGTCGAGGGAAGGGAGGTTAATTGTGCCTTGTAGTTCGAGGACTGCCAGACCCGAGGGCGTTTGTAGGAGTTGGGGGAGTGGGTTGTGGAGGTGGGAGGGAGAGCTCGACGCGTGAGGATGGAGGGGTATCGACGGCATTTCGGGTTGAGAGGTTTTCTGACGGTCCTTGCTGATTATATTCAATCCAGAGGCAGTTTCTGGGGAATGATTTAATCCTTGGCCTTTAACACACTATGCAATAGGCAAATGATGCGCTGGTCTTGTAGACTTGGGGGAGAGATTAGCGCGTTGCTCACAGAATCAACTGGTCTTATCGACTTATCGATAAGCAGATTAATTATCCGCCAGCACAATATTACTGAATGGAGACATATACTGTCTCCTATGTCAGTCCAGATAGCCAATCTACTATGTCTTTGAGTGTTAAAACATCGTGTTTCATGATTAGCTGCCTTGATTAGTGGATAATGTTGCAAGCACCAAAATTTATTGTTTCCAAATTTAATCAAAGAGAACAACAAGCGTAAGTGCTGAACATGGCTCAAGTTGGAGAAGTAGATCAGGCCAGCCACTCCTTAGCTTGCTCTTTCATAAGGCTGTAGGTAAAGAGAAATAATCCTGTAACAGCCATATAGAGCGCCACTCAGACAAGAGAACATCATAGATCATAACCTGTAACGTGATGAAAGGGACACTGAATGCCTGCTAGATATCATCTTCAAATTTCCATGAGTAGGGTGACTGGTGACAGAAGATTGAGTAACACATTCACGGACTTCACTAAGCCCTGTACAAGGTATTGATTGTCAAGAGTCTCTATAAAACAGAATCTTCTATGATACTCCTTCTGTATCTCGCCCATATTGCCCGTCTCAGGTGTTCTTCTACACCAACAGTACAAACTTATCTGGCATTCAGAAAATTGCCCCTTGTACAGAGAGAGACGGTTCTGCAACGCGATCGACTGAGACTCTTAAGTAAGTTCAAGAGAGGCCTGTATCTGTCCATACTCATGATTCCTTCTTAGTCAAACAAGCCGAGACTGCTAAAGGGGTCAAGGGAAGGCCGGCATCTCTGCACCGGCATATAATTGACCTTCTATTACCAGAGGCGAGCGATCTTAGTTCAGGATACTCCAGTACCAAGCTGTTAGAGCTTCCTAAGAAAGGTACGAATAAAAGCCCTGCCATATAACTGACAGCAAGTAGCTTACAATCGAACAAGGGCGAAGGTCACGCAGGTCAAACGCATACAATTGCAAAATGTCGTACACTTCTTCGAAGACATGGATCGAAGACATGATCAAGGAATTCGACAGATTCGTGAGAATCTCAAACAACTCTCTGTTTATCGCGCCCAAGTCGCCAAATGTCCCTCAAGGCTACTGTGAATGGCTCGAACTTCGCGTGTTCATCAATCAAAAAGCCCAGGACGCAGAATCACGACGCCGCACGCTTAGAGCCTCACAGTCAGCCAGCCAGGCGAAAACCTCTATACAACCATTCGCTGGCAGGACTTTCAGAGACAGTCGATCTTCCGTGCTGGCAATGGAGACGATATGGCTGCCTTCCACGACCTTCCATCTTGGACGCCCTGTTGCTCCCTGGCCGTGCAGCGACGAGCTTACGAGTGAGGGTACCTTGAGAAGTATTTCTGGGTATTCCCGCTTCCCACCTCTGCCTAGGGTGCCAGGCAACGAGACCGTCAATTGGAGAAAAAGAGCCCCAATAACGCCGTACCCCTTCGATACTTTTGGAAAGCCGAGTCTAGAACACATCGCGGGCGCGCCAGATATCGACGATGAGATGGCTTTCTTCGTTGGACAGGCCTTGCTCGAGGAGATCAATATTGACGAACTCTAAACCGCCTCCCGGCTAGACGGACAATTCTGGAATGCAGCAGTTTTTATGAGAATGAGATACGTGGATGCGGCGGGCGAATGAACCTCTTGACTTCTCTGTGTATTAAGATGGTCCTGGAACCTTGAGTGCACCTTGTTGACTGTGAAAGATGTTTCCCTTTTCTTGATCAGGTGTCGGACTAGTTGACGTGGAAAGGCTGTCCAATAGGACATCTTGAAAGATCGATCTTGTTCCCCGAATAAAGGGTCCGCAAGAGTGTATTGAGAACCTCCTGTGAATGAAATAGAAGGTCATCCTCAGAAGAGCAACGGAATCGTCCAAGGGTTGCCAGTAGGGTCCGACAGCGATGATATGGTAGCAGCCATCGCGGAGTTTGCGGGATGATTGGCACGCTACGTTCTTCGAAAATTTTGTATTTCCAGGAATTACACGCCGGGAGGAGGGATGGAGCGTTCCTGATTCGATGCTTGAATGCTTGGAGTCAGCATTCACTGCGATGTCTTACGATAGCAGGCTTGCTCGAGATGCTCGAGACCGTCTATTGCCTCCTTTACCATTGGTTCCCCAGATGACCCTGCAGGCCCTTGCATTTTGCCGTAACGCAAATCACTCAGCTCCTCGACTGTGGCGCTGAGTCCGGACAACACAGATGCTGCATCTTGATCCACTTGGGAAATTTCATGCTCGATATTTGAGCAGGCGGTCTCCATCGCGGACAGAAGGCTGGCAACAGAGTGGTAATCGCTGGAAGCAGCATTGATTCCCTGACCAAAGAGCTGGACATCCATGTCCATCTCCCGGCGGTCGTTCTCCTCCATGCCGTCAACGCCGGTCTTCATGATTGCTTTTCGAAGCTCGGCTTTTTGGGTCTCCCCTTGACGGACTTCCTTGTCAATATTCTCATTGACCGTGTCCATGTCTTGCTCTCGCAATTGTTGGAGCTCCCGGTAAAGAACTCTGATATGCGGATGAGCCCGCAATTTCTTCGGAAAAAATTCAGTGAATTGTTGCAAGGAAATGATGGTTGGCAATGAAGCAGGTGAAAGAAGAAAATTGCTCAGAATTGATGCCTCAGATGGTGCCATTCTGCAGTGATGGGAACACAATAATGGGGATGATGAGGCTGTTCTTCTTTCGTTTCTGTATTTAAGGCTGGAAATGTATTCAGACTCGTCTGCTCTATTTGCTTGTCTTCTTCGACAATGATATTCTGGTCTTTTGTGTTGGTTGTGACTCCAGCACAATAGGACGCTTGGCTGAATAGGGATGGTGAACCCAAGACGCGTCTTGAGATTGATGAGAAAATTTCTCAATAACGCTTAGTAGATAAGTGTAGAGGGCCAAGGAGATGAAAAATTCCAGTTTATGAATGTACAATAAGGATGCTGACTATTGTGCAGCAGTCGACAATTAGCTTAAAGTGTGGTTGTTCAAGAGAATAAGAACCCCGGAGAGAAAGATAGACGCGTGCAACTCTAAATTTAAAGTCAGTCCATTTTGGGGTTCCGCTTCATTCTTGCCTTCCACCTCAGTGCCTCTCTTCCTTCAAACTGTCATCGAGATCTCAACCACAAATCGGTCACAAGCATCTATCTTCTTCATAGCAGTCATCAATTGAAGACTTGTTTGATCGGACAGTGTCGTGTCTCCCAAGGAGGTGTTCAACTCTCTCCATCTGGCTTCCGTGGGAATTTCAACCTTCGCGTCTACTACGGAGAACTTTTTGATATACGAAGCTGATATCTTCGTATCGTGATTCCAATCATTCTTCTACCAAGATCAAGTCTATTGCCTTCGTCTGCGCCTCATTGTCACAATTACTGCGGCCAGTATTTGCTGATATCCCTGGTTGCGTTGCACGTGCTCTTGCGGACTCGAAGCCTCATCTAGAGACTGCATTGCCAGCAACATCCTCCTTGGTGTTTCATCATTTTCATTCTTCTAGGAAGCCCGTGCTGGTGGTTAAAAAATACTACCAAGTCTTCTTCCCGTGCTTCTTCCAGAGCAGACAACCTATTGCTTATACCTCATCTATCTCAACCTTCAAAATGGCGCCAGCAAGCCAATCTACTTACCAAAAAGATGAAAGAGTCCTTTGCTTTCACCATGAGATTTTATATGAGGCAAAGATCCTCGACGTTAGGCACACCGATGCTGAGGACAAGAAAAGTCCGTTCGAGTACCTGGTTCACTACAAGGGGTGGAAGAACACGTAAGTACGATTCTGTGTTCGTTTTCTTATTCTGCGAGTGGCGGGTCTCCTAGGCCCATGCTGCTCAGTTGACTTGTGACTCGCGATCTCACCACACGTCTTGAGCCACCTCTGTCTCAATCAAGACGCTCAAATGCGCCTGTTTTGAGTATGCAGACGGAACTCTCGAATCGCAAGTTTTGGTACGTTGAATGGCTGTAGCTGACTTGATCCCTGCAGATGGGACGACTGGGTACCTCAAGATCGACTCCGGAAATTTACGGAGGAGAATAGGGAGCTCGCTACTACGCTCCGTCGTGAGGCGGAGGCTGCTTTTCGCCAGAAGAGCACAAAGACTACGTTGAAGAGAAAAGCAGGCTCCGATCGCGGCTCCGTCCGGGACAGCGAGGAGCGACAAACATCAGTTCCTGGTCGCGCGACTAAGAGGGCCAGAGACAATGAAATTGAAAAGGTAAGCAAAGTCTCTCCACAATGCAGACTGCTGAGACATGCCCGCTATGTCCTTGGGGAAAATTGCAAGTTTCGTTGCTCTGTCCACACGATGCTCACAATAAGGGTACAGGAAGAACATTTCTACACACGGCCATCAGTGAGGATTGTAATGCCGGACAATCTGAAATCCCTTCTGGTAGATGACTGGGAAAATGTGACGAAAAACCAGCAGGTTGTTGCTTTGCCGGCCAAAGCATCAGTCAACCAGATCTTGGAAGATTACAACGCGGAAGAGAAGCCTAAGCGTACGAGCTCGGCTGACCTGGATGTCCTCGAAGAAGTCATCATGGGGATCAAGGAGTACTTCGACAAAGCCCTTGACAAGATTCTGCTCTACCGATTCGAGCGTGAGCAGTACAAAGCCCTCCGCAAGAAATGGGAGGCAGGATCTGGTGAATATTCTGACAAGGGGCCCCTCGATATTTACGGGGCCGAACATTTGACGAGACTTTTTGGTATGCTTTTCGATCATTCGGTTTTCGAAAGACTACTTACTTATTCATTCGTCCAGCAACTATGCCGGAGCTCATTGCGCAGACAAACATGGATCTCCAGTCCACCAACAGACTCCGAGAAGAGTTGTCCAAATTCACTCTCTGGCTCAGCAAGAACTCAGACAAGTATTTCGCCACGAGATACATGACTGCAACAAATGAGTACGTGGAAAAGTCAAGGGGCAACCCGAGTTCGGCAGCTGTAGCTGCCACGACGCGGCTCGTCTGAGCATGATGGGGCGGCTGGTGTCGTCTTTGAGGAATTTCCTTCGCATACGAATGACGTGCGTCTGTCCTCGATCTTTCTTCGTGATGTGTTTTGGTTAATTTGGTGCCCATTTGCAGCGAAGGATAATGGCAATCAGCTATGCACACCATGGTTTACCATGTTTGAGCTTGTATTATTAGATCTAGAATTGGCCAGGTTTTATCAAGAACTCCCGACAAGACTTTGCTTCATGACAGTAGGCATTCTGGCATCGCAGGCATTCAAATGATTGTTATCAGAACCCGGTTCTCATTCATCGATTCTGGCCTTATAGCTACACAGATAGTTTCAAAGATGAACAACCAACTCGGCGATAATTTACAACCATATAGGCGTCTTTCTGGGCACCGCAAGTATGCTCTTGCACTGAGAGTGAACACAGGAATATCTACGCAACCAATTGCCGGGCATCCTCCACGGCGCATCTGGCCGCCCGCTTCAATTCTGTCTTCCAGTCCGCCTCACGCCATCTCGTCCACGCACTCAACCCCTCAGGCGGCTGAATACTCAACGTGTCGTAGCCCTGTTTGATGATCCTGTGAACCTCCCGCGGCGAAAGATTCTTCTTCCGGTTAGCCGGGATCGGCACAGGATTCGAAGCTTCACCGTCGGGGTTCAAGCTTGCGTCGACATTCCTGTCCGGGTTGAAAAGCAAAGTATAGAAGTGGGTCGAGACGGAGATCAAGGTGTCGATGGCGGCGACGTGGACGTCCTTGCTGGCGGTAGTTGTGGGGTCGGGAATCTTCGAGGCGGACGGGGTTGGCTGCTTGAGGGAGTAGACGTCGCGAAATCGGGTGATGATGGGCCCTGTTTCGACGAGTTTGTAAAACAAGTCGTCGTAAGATGCCGGGTCTGGGAGGAAAGTGTCCCCTGCGGAGACGCAGAATGCCACCAGGTCTACAAGGGAAGTAGTGAGAGTGACGATGTTGGGAATATTCGACAGGTCTGACGCGTACGTAGTGAGGAACCGCATCAGGGAGAGCAAAGTCCTCCAGAGCTCCGACCAGTGGTATGGTAGGCGGATTTTGTTCATTGATAGGTAGGTCAATAGCCGAAGAAGGATGGCGATTGATTGACTTGAACGACGGGTGGAAATTAGTCCCAAGCGCTCTGTTAGATAAAACGAAGAGGGCAGAGCATTTACCTGTAGATGTTGGCATCAAGACGCCGCCGGAGATTATGGGAAATGGTATCAATCATAATGTCGAAGATAACTGTTGCGAGAACCCGGTCGCCGGTGACGAGAGGAAGATACGGCTGCCTTTGCCGGCAAAGGCGCACTTTTCTTTTCTCCCCGTCGCTGCAAAGCTGTTTACACAAGGATGAGTCTTCAGAGAGGATGCGAAGAGTGAAGAGGTTGAGCTCCGCATAGTGTGCAACCCGAGGGGATCTGTAGGCGTGCTGCAACAGGTAGCTGGTGACGGACAGAAAGCTGGCAAATGGAGACTCCTCGCTCTCTTTCTCTGGCAGAGAGTTAATGAGGTGATATCCAAAGAGTTTGTTTGCGTTAGCAAAGTCATAAGTGGCTAGAAGAATGGCTGCTTCCTGAGCCGGCCTGATTCCCGTTAGCCACGGGGGAACAATGTAAACGAAGAAGTACCAAAACGATCTTACAGGGCTGCAAACATCTCCTTCGCTTCCTCCGCCGTTGGCGCCTGAGTTTTAATCCTCGCGCCCGGGGCAAGTCTCCCGAGTCCAAAGAAGACCAGGGTGCTGCTGAGTGTCCAGCCCTCAGGTGCATCGTCCTGTACGGCAATATAGCCGTTTCTCAGAGCGGCGCACGAAAGACCGACACCTTTGACGATCTTTTGAATGCTCGACTCGTTGACAAAATCGTCGAGGCGCAATTGATATGGGTTCTGAAACTCGAATTTGTTGTAGTTCGCTAATAGGCCGAGAAGGAGGAACGGCTCAAATATTTGAATAGGAGTATCGGATTCGTGCACAAACTTCGCTGAGTGTCAGCAGACACTCTCGAATGCAGCAACCAGAGCGGTTACAACTTAGAACGGTCATACCTTCATGAGCGATGGGAACAGATCCCTATGCGTAAAGTAGGAGACGAGACTCGTCTTATATGCGCCACTGGTAAGAGCAATGGCTGCCCGGATGGCTTTAATCCGGAGATCAACTGCACCTTCATTAGCAGCCATGATTGGGTCAACTCAGGCAACCATCTCCAGATTGAGCACTCACAGCTGCTCCCATTGCGAACGATACCGTCTAGGATGGCGACAAGGTTCGAGATAACATGGTCAACCTCATCAAGCCCGGCAAGGACAGTGATAACATCAGAGCTGGGATTGGTATACTTCTTCTTTAGCACACATGCTAAGAAGACTGTCAAGGTCTGGCTGAGACATTAGAGCTTGGAGTGTAATTTCCACATCTGAAAGCTCACCTCTAACGCATAAGCGTTCGCTGGGCTAACTCTAGAGTTGGCCTCCTTTATTGCACGCGCAAATAGCTGCTGGGTTTGAGCCTGGTACAGAGTCAGCAAGCAATATCGGTTTGGAATCCCCAATTGAGTTGATTAAATACCTGTAGGTGAAGAGTATCTTCTGGACCGAGCCTATCTAGAATTAATGCAAGCTGGGCTCGGTCAGGCGGCAACAAAAAGAACTCTCGCCAGAAACCTTCGGATGGTTCTGCAAAATCTGAGGTCTATGGGTAAAAATAATTAGCACAAGATGCAGAGGAATTGTATATGACTCCATACTTGAAAGAGATTTTCGTAAAGTTGCACAATTTTAGGCTTGAAAGTCTCCGGTCTACTTTGCTGTGTTAAGGGGGATTCCATGGCGTTATACACAAGACTCCAAAGAGCGTTGAACCATTGCAGCTATCCAGGGGGATCAGTACAAGTCAAGAGTTGCAGTACAGATGATGATAGAAAGATTCCGAATATATGAATATCCAATTTATCATGATTCAAGTACAAGTGTCGAGGCATAATAATAGTTTACAACCATTTCTGCCTCTCTGGGCCAGAACGCACCAGCCACACAAGCATTTGCGTTGTCAGCAATAAGCCACATTTCATTGAGCTTCCTTATTGAAGTTAGTTCACGGAGTAAGAGCATCAATGATACTGTAACCTTTGAAGATCAGATGCTTTAATGTGACTTCTAGTATCACCTTGGTAAAATCTTATAAAAGCATGAGGTACTACACTTTTATGAATTTCTGATATGCTGTTAATAAAACTTGATCCTTAGTGTTTACATAACTTCAGTTATCTCTAAGGATGTTCACATCATAGAGGGAAGTTCCAAAATAGGTAAATAGGAAATCTCAAACTAAGCATGACCTAGATCAATCGATAACAATACTATTCCCTATATCTACTCAACATATAAGTGCAATAGATAATGGTTCCTGTTACACGTACAACCCCCCTCCTTATATGTACACCCCCCTAGCTTAGGTGCACACCCCCCCATCTTAGACACACACCCCCCTTCTGTAATTGGCTAGAATTGACGTCATGTGACCCCTTAAAATGTACTAGCGTCAGGGCTTTAATAAGGGCTAGGGCATAATGCTAGGGTATTATCAGATAGTGATGTAACACAACGCAAAGGCTTTATATTTTTATATAGTAAAGTTAACGCGTAGAATAAACTACAGAAGATCATGTAGAGAATTAGCATAAGGGTACTCAGCCTCAGCAAGGGCGCTAGCGAGGTGGCCGCCAGCAAGGTGGCCGCGGCCATAGTGTTGCTCGTCAGCAGCAGGCAGACCGCAGTAAATATAAAGGTATTCTAACAGAGATGACAGGTGTAATCTAATTTTAAAGGGTGGATTCTAATTGGTGTATGAGTAAACAAATATTTTAATAAGAAATGAACTCTTTTAAAGCCTATCTTGTGGTTTTCCTATCTCTTATTTTTGTATGGTAAATCAAAAACTTAGGATTGCGCGACCGGTGCAGGTCACATAATGTCGATTCTAGCCAATTACAGAAGGGGGGTGTGCGCCTAAGCTAGGGGGGTGTACATATAAGGAGGGGGGGTGTACGTGTAACAGGAACCTAGATAATATTAAGGATCTACTAAGAAAGTTGACAGCCATCACATGATTTACAGTGGCGCCACCTCCAGAGTGAAGTCTGAATGACATTTTCAGGGCGGATGCGTAGAAACACCTCAGTGCTGATTGGCTGGTTGACTCATTGCTTTGCCGACCCGCCGAATCTCTTCCGTCTACAAAACAGAATCTCATCTCCCGAAGTATCCATTTCTCCATATTTGATGACAATTCCTCGCCTTGCAAGCAACAAATCCATCGCAGATACATGAGAATTTGCCTCTATCTTTCATTCTTATAGATCGCACTCTTCCTCTCCATACACATAGATTTGATTCTACTATGTCGTTCCACAGGGTTACCATGCACCCTTCAGTGACATCATCCGCCACGATGTTGAGATGCGCGAGCAGACGATTCAATACACAATGCGCACAAGCGCTCAGAGGTTTCTCCTCATTTGGAAATACATACCGGTCATCAAAGCGTGATATGCAAACCGCTACTGCCTACCGCCCTCATACCTTACCGTCTGTTTTCCCTCCTCCGTCCCGAAACGCCGGCACCCCAGACACCTCTATCGCAGCAGAATTCCCATCGATTCCTGACACGACGATGCAAAACCAAGGACAGAGCGGAGGCTATTCGAATGTGAGCCTGCGAGAAGAGGAAGCTCAGAAGTCGAAACCTGTCACAACCGCACCCACCACAAGCTCGAAAACCGCGGAAAAGCCCCGAAGAAAGCTACGGGCAAGAAAGGCGGCGATGAAGCTGACGCCGGTCGCGGTTGAGCAACTCCGCAAGCTCCTGTCACAGCCAGACCCCAAATTAATTCGGGTGGGTGTGAAGAACCGGGGATGTTCTGGGCTCGCCTACCATCTTGAATACGTGGAAAGGCCCGGAGCTTTTGATGAAGTTGTTGAACAAGACGGAGTGAAAGTTTTAATTGACAGCAAGGCTCTGTTCAGCATAATCGGAAGCGAAATGGATTGGCAAGAGGACAAGCTGAGCCGAAAGTTTGTCTTCCGAAATCCCAATATTAGTAAGTCCCTGTCATTCTTACACATCTACATTTTGTCTAACATTGAAACCACAGAGGAGCAATGCGGATGCGGCGAATCCTTCATGGTCTAGAACATCATTTGTGAAAATTTTGCTTTTGCTTTTGCTTTTGCGTCAATTGGAATTTGATCGAGGTGCATCTGACGGCGTTATTGCGGCTTGCTCACGATTTTCGCATTCATCTGCTCCCTGGGCTTACGGCTTTTTTTTCTGGTGTTATATTCGCTGGCAACACGGGTTGATAGTCGGCCCAGCCGTGCTCTGCAAGGACAGCATTGAGAAGGAAACCCTGGGGCTTCTTTATGGACCTGGTCCGCAGCTCCAACTCGCCGCTCTTTCTCTTGTCCTATCTGGTATGGGATGTAGTCTTCTCCTTCCGCAGATCAGTTTTTCGGTTTGACGATCGACATCCATTCTTGGGCATAGGTTACAGGAACCTGTCGAACTTCATACAGGCTGTAGATATTTTTCAGAATTATAATGAAACTTATATATTATGAGTATTGTCTCCTGTCTCCTAGCTTTTTGTTGTTATTTCTTAATCGCCCAAGCGGATATGCGTACATCACGTGGGTTTTAGGAAAGCGGAAAACCGCCGATAGTCGTCATACCATTCTGTCACTGTTGGCAGTATGCAATTACTGGCTATATGATGAAGCAACGTGAACGATGGACGGCAGACCGTAACCAGGTTGTTATTTCAAATACTTGCTAAGCTGATTCTCAATCGGTCGGCGCTTTGAATTCTGACACACCCAGAATACTCGAGAGTCAAGACATGACTTCCCCCGCATTTCTAACCCCAGATCCTACATGGGACGGGGATTCTGCAGATGGGCCTCTTCTCCTGACAGTCCGTTTCTCTGCCTCAATTGCCGACCTCCCTCTTGACATCCAGAACCCTGATATCACCACGGCTGCCGGCTTAAAGCAATTGATCCGAACGCGCCTTCCTCCGAACCTCTCATCGCATCGTCTCCGTTTGATCTACGCTGGCCGTGGTCTGGAAGATGCCATCCCGCTCAGTGTTTCTTTAAAACTCCCACCTTCGCCTTCTAGAACTCCCATCATACACGACGATGCTACCACTGCCAAGGGGAAGGGCAAAGCGCCCGTTCGGGAGCAGCCCCGGCTCTACATTCATTGCTCAATAGGCGATATCGTTCTATCCGACGCTGATCTAGCGGCTGAGGCGGCAATGGCCACCACACTTCAGCAAGAGCAGACGGATGAGGCTTATACAGGTAGACAAAAGCAGCGGCAGCAGCAGCAGCCTCCGCCGTCCACTACATCCGCTCCTCGCGGTTTTGATCGGCTGTTATCGGCGGGATTCACCCCTGCCGAGGTGTCGGCGCTGCGATCCCAGTTTATGGCTATCCAGTCTGTATCGCGGACGCCGGACACCATGCCGACGGGGGCGGAGCTGCGCGAGCTCGAAGACCGGTGGATGGACGAGGGGTCATCCGCGATGGCCGCGGGCATGGGCGGCGGAGGTGAGAGCGTTTCCTTTGCAGATGATGATGGCGGCTTTGGGGCTGGCTCCCGAGGCGCTATGGACGATATGCTTTGGGGCGCTGTGATGGGGTTCTTCTGGCCTGTGGGGTGCGCGATGTGGTTGAGGAGGGAGGAGGGGGTATGGAGTTGGCGGAAAGGATTGGCGGTCTTTGTGGGCGTCGTTGTCAATGTTGCATTTGGCGCTATGCGCATTATGAATTAGATGGCTTGCTTCGGGCAAGAAGCCGACTTTCTTTGGTGCTAGATTCTTTGCTACGAATGATACCCTTGTGCTGAAGGAACGCACCAAGCGACCGATCTAGTGACAATTGGCTATAGCAGCAATATGTTTGGCGAGTATTAAAGTCTGACGGATGCTATCATACAACGATTCATGTAGGGATGCCTGCAAACAGACACGAAAAAGTCATGAGAGGATAATATGGGAGAGGAAATCGTATCAACGCCTGTGCAGAACCCGACGCTAATGGAACTTGCTATAAATGACAGCGAAAATCAACAGAACCAAAACAGTAATAATCGCGATCGTGATTATCCGATTCGTAGCCATCCTGTAAGAAGGGAAAAGACCAAGATCAGCAAATTGAGATCAGAAGGTGCGGATTTTCAAGAGGAGTCATTACCTACGGGCCATGCCCCTTAGCGTCTTGATGCTCGTGTCTACATATCCTTCACTCTGCTGCAGCCCCGCTCGCGCATGCTCGATGGTCTGCCGTTGCTGGTAGAGGTCGGCTAATGTATTGCGGCCGATATCCTCCGTTTCGAGCGCAATCCGCTGGCTCTCCTGTAGACGGGCAGAGCTCCGTTCTAGACGCTCGGTGCCGGAAAGAAGTTGCTGCCTCTGCTCCAGATGCTCATCTTGTGGTTCGTCCGTGTAGCGGTCGCCAAAGAGCGCCCTGCGATCATCTGAGAGCGATTTGAGCTTCCGCTTGGCTTCGTCAACGTCGGAGGCATAGTTGCGAAAACGAATGTTAACTTTGGACCGTGCTGCTGAGGGGATGTTCTGCTTCTCCATGCGCATTTGATCTAGCTGTACATATTCAACGCAGAGCACGAGATGTTAGACGAGACATACAGGCGGGAGTCCTGGGAGCGCGACGAACCAACTCATTGGCCTCATCCAAGGCTCGCTCAGCCTGTCTTATTGCTGATTTCCGTTGCTCTCCACTTGATTCCGCTATCTGGTCCAGCTTCTGGTTCAGATCGGCCTGTACCAGCTTCAGCTCCGTCTCATAACTGCTGAACAGCTCAGAGCCGGCATCGGTATCTAGCGGGTTCGACATTGTGTTCGTGAACCGTTGAAAGAACAAAAAGATAAAGACAGAAATATGTGAATTGTATGACTGAAACGATCTCGGCGCAACGAGCGAAAAGGTGTCGTTGATAAGCCGACGGTGATGGATCTCTCCCACCTTATCTTCGTGGCGGGTCTCCCTAACGGCTGGACTTTTGTCTCCCAGGCGGAAACGTTTTGAGGTTTGTTAGAAGCTGTCGCTGGATTTGCAGCTAACAGCCGACAGAAAACTGATGCAGCAGTAAATCAACGACCTGTAGAATTGAATCAACGATGACAACAAAGAGAAGAGGCTGGACGATGGCAACTGCAATGACGATTGCTCATTGTTCGGCGATTAACCTCATTCCAGCCATCCAGAAACACGTGACAACCGGTCGAGGATGAGGTGTCAATCCATGTCTTTTAACATACTAGGTCTTTTGAACTAGAACAGTCATATCTTCTTTTCACTTACTACTGTTACTCAGGGGGCAAACACTGAGCAAGCAGTCTTATATTTCAATAATACTCGTACCCCTGGCATGGAACCAGTTCATTGGATCCGCAAAGTAGTGTTTCCATTTTCAGTAGATGACGGAACGTCATACCATTTCCCCAAAGTATCTCTGCTCTGTAACATTTACTGAGTACTTTTTCAGTCCTGTCGACTCATTGCCCTCTCCTGAGCTCATCACTGTTGATAGCTTTTTGACACGATATTCAAGATCACCCAAGGGCCATCGCCTTGATTGATAATCACCGGTTGTCTTTCAAGTTGGTGTCATCTGATGTGGTCACACTTAAAATTCGCATGAAAGGGAAAAGAAGCAGAGGCTAACCGCCTCCCATAAATCTGTCAGCTATTTTCATCAATATCAACGCCTTTCAGCTTCAATCTGCGTACGGCTGGATTCTCCACTCTCATCTCCGATGACGTACCATCATCCGAAAGGGAAACGAGGCGCGTGGATGATCCTGGCAATGAATAAGAAGACGGTATCCGAGGCTCTGAATCTTACATTGCTCTCTCCTGGGGGTGGCACATGAGTGTGCGCATTGTTCAGGCCCTAGTACTGGTTGAATCGCTTTTCTGCGGTCTTGTGATGAAGCAAGCGCTTTCAGTCATAGAGCCCACAGTCATTAACATCTTGCCTTTATTCGCTGGGGCGAGCACTTCTGTTTTCGACACCGGTGCAATGATACCAGCACCTAGATCTGAGAGATCGCGTCATGTCTCCCACGCAGCCTAAACGTGTCGCTATTGTTGGAGGCGGATGCGCTGGGATCACTGCGTTTTGGGCTTTACAGAAGTCACCGCATGATGTCCATCTTTTCGAGGCCTCTGCAACGCTTGGTGGGCGTATCAAGACAATACCATTTGAGAACGATGGAAATAAAGTCGCTGTGAACACGGTATCATCGGTATTCAATGCCACTGCTTCTCGTCAGTGCCTTCTGCGACGGAACGAACCCCGAGACTAATTCCGCTCTAGACAACCTTGTTTCTCTGCTTCGCTATCTAGGAATCCCCACGTCCGCAGCGCAGTTCTCCTTTGGAGCAACCGATGGTATTGGCGCTGAACAATGGACTGGAAGTATACTTGGAGACATTGTCCGTCGCCCATGGCGTCTGTGCAAACTTGAAACATGGCACATGTTGTTCGACATTGCCCGAATGCGATATACGTGTCTAGACCAGCTGGTTGATGGTCATCAGCGGAGTGAGCGCCATGCCCAGCACGAAACCAAAATGCGACATTATTTCTTAAGTGAGGAATATTCGAACACATTTTACACGAAGTACTTGACATCAATGTTATCGGCTTTGTGGGGAATCAACGCTGGCAAAGTTATAGACCTGTTGCCAGTCAAAGCCTTTGTCCGCTGCCTGTTAGACCATGGAATTCTCTGTTCACAACCAAAGAGGCCAAAATGGCAACGCATTAATGATGGAACCAGGCAGTTGGTCCTGGTAATGGCAAGGGGTTTCCCGTCTCATAGAATACACCTCAAGACTCGAGTGACAGGGATATCTCAATCGACAAAAGAGCATTTTGTGCTTATGACCTCTGATGGACAAAAGGGGCATTTTGACCACCTCATTTTTGCCATTTCTGCAAGTGAAATCAAGGACATTTTGGGTACAATTCTTACTACAGACGGATCTGAGATTCTACAAAAGTTGCGAACAGCAAGACATATCATGGTCTTGCATTCAGACCCTCCTGTGAGTAATGTCGGCTCCTCAATCTCTCTGATCTGTCAGAACCGCTCTCAATGACCAAGTACTTACAAACTTCCCAGTTCACAACGAACTTCGACCAGTCATGGCCTGTTAGTAGTTTCATAGTAACTTCCTCGGACAACCACAGTAAGAACCGTCCTGAAGACCCTCCCGACCACATAGCCCTCAAGACATGCCTCACCCGCGTCATCAATGACGAGCAGAATATTCCAGCACAGCTCTTCGGTCCAGTCCTCATCACACTGGATCCATTCGCTCCGCCACATCCTCTTCTTGTCGCAGGAGTGTGGGAGTTCACTGATCTTGAGATCAGCGCTGAGACGCTCCTGGCTCTAAGCCTTCTTCCTGCCATTCAGAACAAACGGGGGCTTAGCTTCTGCCTATCCTGGACGAGCTGTGGATTTCTCGAGGACGCTGTTACCTCTGGCCTCACGGTTGCTGTTGAACATCTCGGTGCCAAAGTGCCCTTTGCCTTGGAGCATCATCCGGACCTCTTGAATGCCAACGAGCTACCACAATTGCATTTGAGTCTGGCAGATCATCTCATTCGGACCCTACTCGGTCTATTGCGTGTCTATGTCCTTATCATTGAAATTTCACTCATCCTATTGGGTGCATTGCGAGGCTTCCTGAAGAATAAAATGTACCTCCTGAGAAAGTGAAGGACCTTTTGTTGTTTATACCAAGCTTGGATTGACACAAGTTAGAGAAATACAGCTAGGCTATCTCCTGAACCATGTACTGCAGATTACTGTTTGACACCAAAGAACTTATGGAGCCAAAGTATCAAAGTATCCTTTCCATTACGTGACATGAATGTGCATATCAGACATAGCATACATCTTTGCGTGATTTTGTGACCTCGATCAACAGACCCTCCATTAAATTAAGTGCATTACTTCATGAAAGGAACTTCTCGCTGTCCTGGCTAACGATAGCAGCACTTCTCTTCGCATCCAGGAAAAGATCCTCGCACTCTGCAACATCCGCCTCCTCAATGCCTCCTGGTCGTCCATTCACGCGCGCGAGGATGCTAGCAGGGGTGAGCAGTTGCAGAGCATACCGCAAGCTGACCTTGCTGCCATGCTCAGCGACCTTGTCGAGGGCAGGCTCGGTGATATTGAGGCCTTCTGTCTTAGCGCGCAACCGGATGATGGTCTTGATCTCGTCTGGGGTGTAAGGATGCGTGGGGATGATGAGGAGACGGGCAAGCAGATCTGGCGGGATTCCATGCGCAGCAGCGACATCGTCTGTGCCGCGAATAACGGTGTGACCCCGGTTGGACGCGAGAATGACGATAGGGGAGATGCTAGACTCTAGAGCGCGGTTGAGATAGGTGAAGCATTCGATGTCAAGCATGTGGACCTGAGATTGCGTCAGCAGACTTGGAATGCGGTGACAAAAGGAGCACGAAATACCTCATCAATGAAGAGCACGCCAGGAACAAGCTCAGCAACACCCTGGTCGATATAGCGGTTGACCACTTTGTTGATCTCCTGGCGCAGCTTGTCCGTGATTTCTGTTTTCTTTGGCTTCATGAGCTGGCCCATCATACTCATGACATCCTGTCCGCCCTGTGGCCGTGCGTTGGCCATGTCCAAGTCATGAAGCGTCACATCTTGCACAATTTCCTTCTTCTTGTGTACCTCTCCCTTCGGTACAGGAACGTATTCTTCCGCCTCAAGATCGAACTCGGTCGCATATGCATCGGACCGTCCAACTCTTTTGCAGGCTCCAGTGTTCGCTTCAATATAGATGACATCTCCAACGGTCACACGCTCCTTCTGGATTGCCTCGTAAATGCTAGGGTCAAGACGCAGCTTCTTGGTTCCTTTGGCCGACTTCAATCCGATAATCAAATGGCTGATGGTACGTCCGTAGCCGCCAAGGGGGTTCTCGGTTTCCTCAGGCGTGAGTTCTGTGACTTCTCCTTCGTACACCTCTTTCGTTTCGCGCACTCTTAGACCTGAAATTTGATCAGTCGCAATCACAACCTGGAAGACGCGATGGATATAACATACCAATCGCCCTGCGAAAGTTTTCCATAAGTGCCTCGGTCTTCTTGACCTCAGCAGAGTAGATTTCACTGCCAACAATCGGACAGAACGGGACCTTGGTTCCCAGTTCCTGTGACACAGCCAGAGCAAGTGCTGTTTTTCCAGTCCCTGGTCCACCTGCAAGCATAATTGCACGTCCTGCCATCTTCTTCGCCTTGATTAAATCCACAACAACACCGCAGGCCTGTCAGAGAAGCATGCTAGTTAGCCCAAGCTCATCTTACAAGGTGAAGAAAAATTGAATGCGGCGCACCTCGCGGGCTGCTGCCTGTCCTACGAAGCCATCGGCGGAGGGCTCCGCAGAACCATCTGAACGTAACCCAAGGCCCTTGATATGAGTGTGTGCTGCTGTTCTGTTCTCGCGCGAATTGCCCTTCACTTCACTAATCTGAACCATGGCGAAGTATTGCGGCCTGGCGTGGAAGCCAAAAGGTAAATCTCTGGATGAAACGGAAGACTTTCAAGCGTGGTCAAATATCAGAAATAGTCGGGAAGGAGAATCATGCGAAGAAAACCTGCAGTAAGGAAATTAATGCTTCAATGTGCAGCGAGGTGATGCTTCTGGCCGAAATTCAAGCGCGCAGCTCAAGATGGATCGAGCAATGATAGCGGTGCGTTGCTAAGGCGGTCAGCCCCCAAAGAATCCGCCCAAATTCTTTCCCTCTACTCCTAGCAGACTTCCCGATCATTTTACTAGCGGACGGGGTCTACTGGCTACGATTCGTCTTGCCTGCAGCCGTTTGTCGACTCTCTACACTTAATTATACTGTCCTGTCATTGTTGATGCTGAATCTATAATTTAATTATCACAATGGCAGGCCTCCAGAGTCGCTTCGCCATGACCCTTCCCTGCTCCCTCTCCACAGCTTTTCGCAACCTCTCGTTATCAGTCCCGAAGCGCTCGTTCTCTACGACATTGGCTGCGCAAAAGACGAGGCAATTACCGGATTATATTCCTCCTTATCCCTATGGACCCAACTACATCTTCAAGCAATCAAACTCCGGTCTCTATGGTGGGGCTATGATCCAGTTCGGAAACAAGATCTCGAAGGGCCGCAATGAGGGTAAAACTCGACGATTCTGGAAGCCAAACGTCAGGCGGAAGAAGCTCTGGAGCGAAGCTCTCGGAGAGTACCTCTACATCAAGGTTACGCGAAAGGCTCTGCGAACAATCTGGAAGTCTGGCGGTCTCGACAACTACCTTTTGGATGACCGGCCCGGTCGTATCAAGGAACTCGGTATCTTCGGCTGGGAATTGAGATGGAAAGTGATGCAGACACCAAAGATCCAAGAGCAATTCCGCGAACAAAGAAAACGTCTTGGTCTCCCCGAGCCACCGTCGTTCGAGGAGTGGGTAAAGCAGAAGGAGGCAGAGATCAAAGCCAAGGTGGAGGAAGAGACCAACATCAAGGAAGTTACGAAACCAACATACAACGAGAAACAGTACTAGGGGAATAAAAGATGTGACGGGAGTTTTCTGATCAGCATACCATGGACAGTCGATTCGTTTTCTATTCTGTTGGCCAAGGACTGGGCGTCATGTACTATTATCTTCGATTATTTTCTGGAATTCAATGTACACCACTTCAGACAAGAATCTCCGGCCAGGAGTCACCAGAACCGCCATTTCTCGTCTAAACCTTTATGTATCATATCTGCAATACAGTATTGCTTGAGATATACAATGGATATGTCGCCTTCCCAGGGATACAACGTCGGACATTCTTTCTGGATAGCTCACACGTCAGTGAAGACAGAAATTAGAAGCATGTATCGCTCAGCGACGACGAATCGAGAAGTATCGTTGGGCCTGCTGCAAGTCCTCTGCTTCATCGAAGTAAATTGACGCCCTTATCTCAGATAACCCACATTCCGTCTGACGAGAGCTCCTGTGAATCCAGATGGTTGATTGGAATGTGCCTTATACAAAGGTCGGGCCAACGATGATCCGCCGCTCATTTCCGGATTCGGCAGATTGGCCGCCTCCAGGTACGACAGTTCAATCTATACAGCTCGTCCGGTTTGGCTTGGGGATATTGCTCCTACCATGTCTTGATAGAAGGCATCTTCAGATTGTGCGAGGTCGCCCAGCAAGAGTCGCTGGGGACAAGTCATCTCGTCATGCAGTTTGCTCTACCCCCTCGGAGGAGTCCTCATACTTCTTCCTACACCCGCTCCTCCAGGCTTTCTTTACAACGCAAGAAACAGCTCAAGGCCGCTGCAATTTTAGGCTTCGCTATCCTCACCATCTTCTTCCTTTTATCACACTTCTCTCATTCTAGTGCAGCGTCAATATCCACCCCCGCCGGAACTTCAAGCATTGTCATTGTGACGGTTCTAGATCGGGCCCGTTTCAGCGATAGCTACATCCAGAAGATCATCAAGAACAGAGAGCATTATGCTAGTCGACATGGTAAGTGAAACTAAGCACAGTACATCAGCTCTGCCTCCACGACTGACTAAATCTTTCTAAAATGCAGGCTATACGAATTTCTTTGCAACTCTGTCTGATTACGACCTCGCGCTGGACAACGCCCCGCGGAGCTGGGCAATAGTCCCAGCGATGCGTCATGCAATGGCATCACACCCTCATTCAGCTTATTTCTTTCACCTCGATACTCATGCTCTGATCATGAACCCTAGCAAACCATTAGAGTCTCATCTGCTTGACAAGAATCGCCTTCAATCTTTGATGCTTAAGGACATTCCCATTGTGCCGCCGGATAGCATCATCAAGACCTTCTCGCACCTGAAGGCAGATGACGTTGATCTGATCATCAGCACGGATAACGAGGACTTGAACCCCGGAAGCTTTGTGCTTCGACAGGGCGACTTTGCGCGATTCTTCCTTGATGTGTGGTTTGATCCTCTGTATCGGAAGTACAACTTTCAGAAAGCGGAGACGCATGCTTTGGTAGGGTTGCCTCCTTGTCTTCTTCAACATGGACGGGGATTATTTTGCTGACAATTGCCCCTCTTTTACTAGGATCATATAGTGCAATGGCATCCGACTATCCTCGCGAGATTGGCGCTTGTTCCTCAACGAAGCATTAACGCTTACAGCAAAGATTCCTCGTCTGCTTCTGCCGACGGCACTTACAAGGACGGAGACTTGGTCATTCGGTTTTTCGGATGTGATTCCGATCCTAAGCGCAGTTGTGAGCAAGAGATGGAACCGTACTACAACCTATGGGCGAAGAAGTTAAAGAGTGCATAAGCAGCTCCTCTTCTCCTGAATTGATCTTCCTTGAGCTTTTACGAGTCGTTCTTCATATCTGTCTTCTATTATAGATCGGTGTTTATGGGTCTGGATGGAGCTATCAACTCAAACTTTGGCTTTGTTTGTCTAATGGGATTATATGATGACGGTTATCTTGTTCATCACTCCTTGTTTCTAGGAACTATTTGGAGTAAATTTTATAGAGGTTTGCGAGCGTCTATGGAGAGTTCATGTCTGCCCGTAAACTTTTGCAAATAGAAATTCAACGTGTATAAGAAGCAATTTCTGCAGCAAGCACTTGCCCTTTATCGCAGCATCACAGCAACCCTTGTTAGCTGGCCAGTGTCTCACTGGATGCTCTGTGAACTGGCTATAGTCCTGCGGGAATGGCTGTCTTTTCATACGCAGGTCGGTCCAATCACCGAATACTTAGAAGATTCCAGGAATCATGACAGACCTCTTGCGCTTGTACTTGTCACCGAACTCTTTGCGATAGCGGCGTTCCTTCTTAGCGGCCCAGCTAGCCATTTGAGCACCTCCAATAGTGATGAAAAACAAGACACTCCAACTCATTCCGCTGGCCAGATAGATGCCAATCCAGGCAATGATCTCGAACAAGTAATTGGGGCAAGTCACAAGGTTGAATCCGAAGCCGGACGGAATGCCCCTCTCGGTGGTACCTGGTCGACGCAGGTCGCGAAGCACCAGATGTGCATTCAAGTTGGCCAGCTCGCCGAAGATGAAAAGGGCAATACCGCTGTAGAGGAGGGCTGGGTTGGTTTTGCTGGTGGCAGCAGCCGCGTCCGGGCGGAAAACCCAGTACGCGATGTTGAAGCCGGCAAGAACCCAGTAGTGAGCGCTGTTCTTGAAGATGTTACGGGCGGGCATCGTGGCATTGCTGAAACGATGGATAAAGAGAGTCTCGAGCTCGCGTTTGGTGAAGTGCACGATTAGGAGCCCGCAGACCAGTAGCTGCAGGTTGGAAGGCTCGGGTAGAGGCTTGTCGAAGTTGTAGTAGATATATGGCCGGAGAGGGAACAGAAACAGAGCAGGAATGAGAAGAGGCCCCAGGTACTCGATAATGAAGACTGTGCGCCATGCAATCTGGGGACCTGAGAAGTGACGCAAAATACCACGTTAGTTCTCATCGTGATTGGAGAGTACAGCTGGATCAAACTCCAACATACCCAGATCCTTGACATGAACTACACTCTGATCCCGGAGTCCAATATCATTGACACTTGTGCCTTTTGAATTGGGGACAACTGTTCGGTCGCTTCCCTTGGTGATCCTCAAACGGTGGATGGGGAAGCCCGAAGCTTCCGCGAGTGAGTTATAGATTTCTTGTGTAGAAGCATTGGGACCAATCTGAAGTTCCTTTGGAAGCTTCCTAATGGGTTTACCTGTAAGTAAAAGAATCAGTGCGCTGCAAATGCTTAGATCGAGGAAGAACGATGAAATTCGAATGAAAGCATACCCCGGGGTTGAACGACCAACGTGATTGTCGACGCCATTGAAATTGAACTCGATCGCAATCCTTTCTGATATCGCGAAGCTCGTGCCCGTAAACTCGATCAAAAGTGAAGTCAAACACACTCAGTCGAGATACTACTGTCGCAGTGTTGCTAATCCGCAAAATAATGCAGGCTAACAAACAACTAAGGTAGTGTACCTGATCCATCGGCATTCAGGCACCTCGGCAAGTCTCAAGTCACGTGATACGAGTGTTCAGGATGAGGGACATGTTCCAGAAGGACTTATCGCACTCTCCCATATGCACAATTTTAGTCGAGACTGAGCTGGGAGTCGGGAGAGACGATGCTGCTTTATGCATATTGAGAATACTTTGTGTCCGTAAACTTCCATCGCACAAGAATGACTGGTGGAGGCATTCAATTAACAGCAGTGAGAAAAGAATGTTTACATTTTATTGGTACAACGTTATGATTATGTGCAGCCTTCAACGTATACCTACCTTCTCAGAACTCCCTAGATCAGACACACTAATGGGACTCAGTCAGTGCTATCATAGCACCAAAGAGCGCATTGGCCCTTGCTCGATGTCAGCCTGTCAGCCGGCCTTCTCCGTTGCCTGTCGAGGTTAAGGATATGAAATATGTACCAGCTGCTAAACGAACCACTTTCTTGCTGTCAGGCTGTACTCTGAATTAGACGACTCAGCCAGCCTTGTTCTTACTGGACTATTTAGTGGCAATTTAGCTTGCATAAGGGTCCCACTGTCGTCGGCTGCAACCACCATTCCTTTTCAGCCAATCTTGAGTGACTTGAATGTAGATACTATGGATCTATTATTTTCTATCTATCCGGAAGAAACTGTCGCATTGATACAGCGTTCATACTGCGTTCATGATTGGGAAATCACATGAGCGGCCAATCAGCTGCGTCACGACTCGTGAGCGGACGGGGATCTGGAATCTGGAATTGACCTATCCTCGTGTTCTCGCTTCAATGCTCGAATTATTGACTTATGACAATTGATTACGCATTTGCGAACCAAGCTGTTGGTAGACTGGCAACCCAACATCCGCAGATCAACCAGGTTGTCTTTCCTCGATTATCCACACATGTTTTCAGCTTTGTAAGAACTCCAGCAGTGGTTGGCGAAAATGACCCATCGCGGGATCTCCATCATCGATCAACGAACGCTATCATGAATTCAGGATGGATCGTATCTACTTGATGCGGACTGTACATTCATCCTTCACAGGACGAGTATGTACCATGCAGCATGCTTCTCTGATAACTATTAATCAGTCTTTCAGCTCCAAAAAGCTGCACCTGTGCCATCAGCCATGTTCTGGGCTTCTGGCCTATTTCTCAGCCATGGCCCATGGGCAGTGTCCCCAGCTGACAGCCAAACTAAGTTGGTCTTATTGCGCATGCGCGAATCAAAGGGCCATATCGCGCACACTCTCCTGTGGGGCATTATTCGCCCGGAGAGATGGCTATGATGGTGATGATGATTATGTGGATGATTATTGCTGACTCCGTCGGTCATGAGCGAGGCTCCTTCAGCCGCTCGATTATTTGGTATGCCATGTGCAATTATTTCCTACTTAATGGGGCGTTGGCCCCGAGAGGCTTTGTTTGACTTTCCGATCTCTTTCCAGTCCACTGGCTCATCGATTGTTCCTAATCGCTAACCAAAGCTATTACCTCTGTATCCTTATTCGGCTGTACTGTTTTGTATATCTACTGTGATTTTGCTTTGCATGCCACATATATTCTCGAATCTGATCTTTAGTGAATTGGTGAGTACAAACTGTATTATATGAAGATCTCCCACAATGATGTCCCACAAACAAAGCGCATAGTGGATGTATTGGATGATGCTCCGAGCCTTTTATGCCTTCTCTTATCGCAGAAGTGCCAATGCTAATATGACTTAGGAGTGCATTTTTATTCAACCCACACACTTTTGTTTTGTACACTATATCCGCCATGTCTGAGAAGCAAAACGGTTCTGCCAGTGGTGGACTTGGAAAGACCCTGGCTCAGATCGAGCAGGTTGTCTCGGCGTCGCTGCGGCCTATGCCTAGCCAAACAGGCGACGGCACCTATGTCACGGAGCAAGTGAAAACAGGCATTCTCAAAGATCTCCCCCACGTTGACCTGAGCGATCTCAAGACTCTCGTGGATGTCTCGAAGAGTGCCTTGACTGGAGAGGCTTTAGACGACAGGAAGTATATCATGGAGCGAGTTGTCCAGGTCAGTTTCTGCGCGTACGGTTAACGAAGAATTGGATTATTGATCTTGACCACATGCTAGCTCGCCGCTGGCTTACCCTCAACTTCTCAGGTTGGTAAAGAATTGACGAATACCTTTCTGACCACTCTGTGGAATGACTTGGAGCACCCACCAGTCTCGTACGTTAATTTTATAAAGCAAACTTCTTTGACTTACTTCTGACCGCACGAACAGCTATCTTGGACGTGATGCAATGTACCGAAGAGCGGATGGCTCTGGCAATGTAGGGCTTAGAAACATCCGGTTTCAAAATGCTTGCTGACTCGACGAACAGAACGTGCTTTGGCCACATATTGGTGCCGCTGGGACTCCGTATGCAAGATCTGTACGGCCCAAGACCTTGCAGTCTCCAAACCTACCAGATCCCGAAACTCTTTTTGATTGTCTCCTGGCACGTAAAGAGTACAAAGAACATCCGAATAAAATATCTAGTGTATTGTTCTACATTGCATCCATCATTATCCATGGTAAGTCCCGGGCAAATGAAGAGACGACGGTTCAGACTGACAAATATACACAGATTTGTTCCAGACGGATCGTAAAGATCCAACAATCAGCCTAACTTCTTCATACTTGGATCTGTCGCCTTTGTATGGCAACAATCAAGAAGAACAGAACCTTGTCAGAACGTTCAAGGATGGTAAGCTCAAGCCAGACTGTTTCTCGACGAAACGCGTTCTGGGCTTCCCTCCGGGTGTTGGCGTAGTTTTGATGATGTTCAATCGTTTTCATAACTACGTGGTTGAGAAGCTGGCAATGATCAACGAAGGAGGCCGGTTTACAAAGCCGCAAGAGTCCGACACCGCAGCATATGCGAAGTATGACAACGATCTTTTCCAAACCGGCCGACTTGTGACATGCGGTCTCTACGTCAACATCATTCTGAAGGATTATGTTCGCACCATTTTGAATATCAACAGAACAGACAGCGTCTGGAGCTTGGACCCCCGTTCTGAAATGAAAGACGGATTGCTCGGCAGCGCAGCGGCTCAAGCAACTGGTAATCAAGTTTCTGCTGAGTTCAACCTTGTGTACCGTTGGCACTCTTGCATCTCCCAGCGAGATCAAAAATGGACTGAAAACATGTATCAAGAATTGTTCCCTGGGCAGGATCCCAGCAGCATCTCCTTGCAGGACTTCTTGCGAGGACTTGGTCGGTGGGAGGCTAAGCTACCAGAAGAGCCTCAAGAGCGTCCGTTTGCTGGACTACAGCGCAAGGAAGATGGGTCGTATGATGACGATGATTTAGTCAAAATTTTTGAGGAAAGCGTTGAAGACTGTGCAGGCGCTTTCGGTGCCTTGCATGTTCCCACCGTCTTCAGGAGCATCGAGGCGCTTGGGATTCATCAAGCGCGTTCCTGGAATCTGGCTACTCTGAACGAATTCAGAAATTACTTCAACTTGGCTCCTTACAAGACCTTTGAAGAGATTAACCCGGATCCATACATCGCAGACCAGCTCAAGCGGCTCTACGACCATCCTGATCGGGTTGAGATATACCCTGGTATCATTGTGGAAGATGCGAAAGAGTCAATGGTTCCTGGCAGTGGTCTTTGCACCAACTTTACGATCTCTAGAGCCATTCTCTCGGACGCCGTCGCTTTGGTTCGTGGTGACCGCTTTCACACCGTCGACTTTACACCGAAACATCTCACAAACTGGGCGTACAGTGAGATTCAGCCCCAGGATTCGGTTGACCAGACCCATGTCTTCTACAAACTCGTCTTGCGAGCTTTCCCGAACCACTTTAGGGGCGATTCAGTCTATGCTCACTTCCCCCTTGTCATACCATCCGAAAATAAGAAGATTCTGACCAAACTCGGAACTGCCGAAAAGTATAGCTGGGACCGCCCCAACTATACGCCCCCGCCTCAGTTCATTAACTCCCATTCGGCCTGCATGTCTATACTGTCTGATCAGGAGACATTCAAGGTTACTTGGGGTAGCAAGATTGAGTTTCTCATGCGCCACAATAATCAGCCTTACGGCAGAGACTTCATGCTATCCGGTGACAGGACCCCGAACGCCATGTCGCGTCAAATGATGGGCAAGGCCTTGTACCGTGATAAATGGGAAACTGAAGTGAAAAGGTTCTATGAGGACATTACTGTGAAGCTGCTGCACAGGTACTCTTACAAGCTTGCTGGTGTCAATCAAGTTGATATCGTCCGCGATATTGCCAACCTGGCGCAGGTTCACTTCTGTGCTTCCGTATTTTCGCTACCACTGAAAACCGAATCCAATCCCCGAGGCATCTTCACTGAGTCGGAGTTGTACCAAATCATGGCGGTCGTGTTCACTTCCATCTTTTACGATGCAGATGTTGGAAAGTCTTTCGAGCTTAATCAAGGGGCTCGGGGCGTGACGCAACAGCTTGGCCAGCTCACACTAACGAACGTTGAGCTCATCGAGAAGACTGGTTTCATTGCCAATCTTGTCAATAGTCTGCATCGGCACGATGTCCTCAGCGACTATGGTGTCCATATGATCCAGCGCCTGCTTGGCAGCGGGATGCCAGCGGCTGAAATCGTTTGGACCCACGTTCTACCAACTGCTGGAGGGATGGTAGCCAACCAAGCACAGCTTTTCTCCCAGTCTCTTGACTATTACCTCTCAGAAGAGGGCTCAGTTCACCTACCCGAGATCAATCGGCTGGCCAAGGAAGACACCCCTGAAGCTGACGATCTACTGTTGCGATAGTGAGTATTATCAACTTCTATGTCGCCCTTCTTTACTAAGTCTTATA